TCGCTCAAAGCCGACAAAGTTGTCCATGTATTTTACTTGAAAAAAAACCAATTTTTTATAGAAATGGCATAGAGTTATTAAAATCAATATTTTTCGATCAGAAAACGCTGTTTCTCTGCAGGATAATACCCGATTGTTTATTTAAAAATGTTTTCATAGTAACTATAATTTATAGGTCCACAAAAAACACCGAAAAGTGCAATGGGGGACCAATAATAAATCGTTAAAATTAAAAACTGTTTAAATAAATATTTCGGTATTAATATTGGAAGCCTCCTGTAGATAACGCGAGTTTTTCGATCGAAAATTTTCAAGAATTCTGTGCCATTTCTACCAAAATTTTATTTTATTTTTTCTCATATAAAATACATGGAAAACTTTGACGGCTTTAAGCGACTTCTAAAAATTTTTTTGATTTCGAAATAAAAAAATAGTGGTAAATTCTTTTCGGTATAGAAGAATCCTAGGGTGTGAGAACATTTAAGTTCCGACTTTGCTCTTTTTGGATCACCCTAATGTACACATATGAATGTGTGTGTAGGATAATACACACGAAGAACTATTTGAAGCTAGTTTAAATCTGTAACGCAGATGCAGTCGCAGAAGAGCATTTACGACCTATTTTCATACTTTTGGATATGACAAATTAAAAATAAATTTCAAAATTTCAAAACCCACAAAATAATCAATACACGCGCACAACTATGGGTTAGTGAAATTGCGTTTTTAGTTTTTCTCTCTGACGTCAGGACTTTAAAATTTTAAAAATATGACTTATTTAAAAAATCAAAAAAAAAAAATCAGTGCAATAAGTAATAATAACAAAAGCACCAAGTGAAAGAGAAATTCTGTAGAACTTAAGAAAATTTAAGATTGTTGGTTCACAAGGACTAATTGGCATTGAATCTGCCTTTCTATTTAATTTAAGTTTAATTTCATTTTTTTAAGCCAATAAAGTTAGAAGCGAGAAATTCGAGGATCGTGTGTATTTTACTCCTTATCATAAAATTTTTATATATATGAATATATTACTTACAAGTTTTCAGGGAAAGTTTATAAGTGCTTTTTCAGTACCTATTCGTCTCCATGCACCAACAAATTTAAACTTTTTGAATTCCACATAATTTTCTCTTTTATATGAGACCCATATTGCCACTCAACATTGCACAGAATTAATTAATAATACCTTTAAAAATATAAAGTCCTTTCAAGAAAAATCTTGAAGTCAGAGAGAAAACTTAAAAACGAAGTGGTTTACTATTTTTGGCTTTTATTTTCGCGAATATATTAATTTTTTTGTGTGTAAAATTGAACTGAAATTTAAAAAATTTTAAAGGATAAATTGTGAAGAATACACAGCTATTCTATTCGAAAAAAAAGGAAGAGAATTTTATTATTTTACTTTCGACTTTAAATTAAAGGAAATATCCGTAATATTTTGATAAGAAAATTTAAGTGACTTCAGCTTGTTTGACTTTGGATTAAAAATAATAACTTTTCCTTAAAATTTCATTTTTATTTTTGTGAAGTCATCTTTAACTAAACTTAAGGCTAGTTAATCCATAAAATATTGTTTTTAAACCCAATGAATTATTGATTTGAAAGTTCGAGATGTTGTCTTAGCAAAATGCCACATAAGTAACAAAAGGGGCAGTTAAGGCGGATTAAAATGCAGCGACTCCGCTGACTTAGCTATGTTGTACGAATGATCAGAAAAACCTAGGCTCTGGAGGTATAGAATAAAGAGGAAGGCCCTCCCTGCCAAGGAAAGACCAAGTGGAGCAGGACTTGGTGTCACTTAGCACAGAACAAGGCGTATTTAACAAGGTGGTGTTAGCCGTATCTAATGGTGATTTCTATCAAAAAATGTTGCCTTTTGATTGCCCCTCTCTCTTTTCGTGTTCGATTCTAAATTAATGGCAAAGGTTCAGACAATTTTGAGTTCGTTTTATTAAATGTCACACTCTTGTTAGGCAAAAAAAGGTACATTGTCTGCCCTATGAAGCTTTGTCAAGGGAGATGGTTGCCCTGGAAATCAGATGGTTGTTTAAAACAACACCATCGTAAAAAATTACGAAAAAAAATTATACGCAGATATCCATACTGTCATTGGTATGAGTTACAACAAACACATCATTTTGACGTAATGCCCTCCACGGCGAAAAACTCAGCTGTCGCCCCAAAAACCACCCTGTTAAATACACCTTGGCACAGAAGAGAAACGACGACATGCTTTGTTGGATTCGGTCAGTGGCAGGTGCTTTGTACTTTTATGCAGACTTCTTTCGGCAAGTATTCATACATACATATCTTACAGTTAGGATAGATGCCATATCAAAATTTTCAAACGCCCGGGTTTTTTTTTACTAAATTCACATATTAATAATTTTCAGCTATGAAAGACTTCCCGCAAAGCTTTGAATTTTGGACACTGAGGTAGCTCACTTGGCATGAAACGTTCCATATATAAAAGGATTGCTAGATACTTGGCGGGTTTCGAGAAGGAGAACACACAGTGAGATAAATGTAAAGGAACTCTAAGATTTTGCGATGAAGAATTTAGGAAAAATTGTTCCGTTAGATAAAAAATTTACATTGGACTCTTATTTGACCTACATGAAAACTGTATGCTGTTTGCAATAAGGAATCCATTTCCATGGTCGCAAGAGCCGCGAAACTCACTTAATTTTTCCAAGTTCATTATATGTATGATGTTGTTAGATAGAAAAATGTAAAAATATTAAAAATTCTACTTTGAAGGTCATTTTAGAGGTAAACATGATTCAAACTAAAATTACCTTGACCTTAAAACTGAATTTCAACGGTAAAATTTTTCGCATTTTTGTCGTTCTTTGACATAAAAATAACCTGCAATAAACCTTAAAAAAATAAATGAGTTTTACTCTTCTCGAGACCATGTAAATCAGTCAGGCAAGAGCAGCAAAAATATATATCGTTCATTTACTTCAATAGTGTCATATTCAGCATTTTAAGGCGTTTGCCTATTTTGTCTGCTTAGTCGTATCTGTAAACAATTTAAAGAATCACACGATTCATGTCTTCCATGATTAAAACTTTTAATTTCAATTTTGCCTTTTTCTGCATTTTTTGACTAAAAATTGCAATATTTGAAATAAATCGAAAAAAATTGGTAAACATTTCGTGACTTGTTTCCTAGATTTCCTAAAAAGATTCTGAGTATGCAGTTTTGTAGCCCATTGAATTCTATTAGAATAAAGTACAAGTTTCAAATTGCTAAAAATTATGGTAGATTTGTTAAGAACTTTTAAAAAAGCTCGAAATTTTTACGAAAGTTTCTGAATATTGCGAAAACTTTGATCTACACGGGTTTTGTTAAAAAATGAACTATATATATTTTTTACCACTGTGTGTATTTTTTATATATTTAATTGGACATACATACATATATTTACATTGTACTAAAGGTATGTATGTAACAAAACTAAAAAATAAATGCCTTGTTTGAAGGCTCACTTTGCCTTTTTTCAAGTTTTTACTGCCTCAGAGTCCTAACCCTGGTCATAATTTAAAAACTATAAACTTTTGAGTTGAGTATGCAGACCTTACTGCTACATTTTCTTCCATGTTGTGTAAAAATTTCATAGCTGTATCGATTACCGATATCTCGCTAGAAGAAAATATGTATTCATTTTTACTATGGGAGCAAATTCAAAACATTAAAGCAGTTTTTCTCGAGTTTGCTTTTTTCGAGTTTTGATATTATTGAAGTAAATGTGCGACAGATATGTATATTTACAACTTTTTAAAAAGTTAATTTAAAACCTTCCTTTTTTGAAGGTAAATAAAGGTTTGATAGAAACCTTCCCAGAATTCTCTATTTTAAAAGCTTTAAACTACCGTTACATTTATTCTGCTTTATGTTCTCGTTTTCGGGATATTAGATTTTGTCACAAAAAAATATCATTTTCCAGACTCTATAATTTAAACAAATATATATTTTATCTATCCACTCACCAGTATCACAATTTTATTTATAGTATTTCTTATGTTTCTTGTGTTAATAAATAAATAAATAACCATATTCTTCTTTCCATGCTAGGTCATAAATTTCGATTCACCACGTGGCGGTATATCGTTAGTAACCGAGAAAGGTGTACTCACTACCAGTCGACTATTGGTGCAGAAGGCCATACAACAGGACTCAGGACTTTACACATGCACGCCATCGAATGCAAATCCTACATCAGTGCGGGTACACATCGTTGATGGTGAGTAAATATGTATATCGTCGTTTAAAGTGCATGAAAAACCGCGCAACTGACATTTGCTGCCAAAAATTTGATTTGCTCTTGGCTCAATCTTTATCCATTCGTCCTGAAATATACTAGCCAGAAATGCGATTCCTTTATTAAAAAAGAGAACCATTTTGAAATATGAGTGTTTTTACTCTCTAGAAAATAATTTATGCAACCTCACATACGCAGTTTTGCATTTTGTTGATACGCGGTTTTGTACTTTAAACGACGATATGTACAAACATATCTAGTACACATATACAGAAGCGTATGCGTGCATGACTGCTTGAAAGTTTAGCAAAAAAGAAATTTGATACACTCACAAATTCGAATAACTTCCTAATACTAATTCCTGTATGTAGTGAAAGTGAGTGATATGTAAGTACATATGTATATACTCTTTATACGTATTGCCGTTTTGGCGTCTTTTAAATGCAAGTCAGCAGCACGTTGTTTATGAGTTATTTATTTAACTATATGTATTCACTAGTTAACTCCAATAATTTGACAAACTCTAATTTTATTGCTAATAAACGTGTTTGGAATTCCAAAGCATTTGTTGGTAAAAGTGTTTCTCGTTAGGGACTTTAGGTTTACATTTTTATCATTGTCAATGGAACTCTCTACTTTTTTGAAATGATAGCTGTGGCGTGAGTTTCGAGACGCATATACGCTGATTGTTTGTACTCATTAACCAATTTTGAAAAAGTAGGACAGACGTTGTTATTATCTTGTTCCGGCACCAGACTAAATAAGACAATCATATGAAAAGGATTGGCCTCGTTTAAAGTTTCGTTTGACATCAAACGGCATGCAGAGGTCCTTCTAAATTCAGACAGAGCTGGTGGTGTTTTCAACGTCATTTTACGCAGCCTTTTACATAAGTGATGTTGGTTTGATTCTAGATCTGCTTCAGAACTGTCATACCTACGGTGACCATCCGTCCTGAATTTCACGGGACAGTCCTCTGTTTTCGCAAATTGTTCTGGTAATTTATTTCTTTCATACGGGACGCCAAATGTTCTGTATTTCTTTTAATGTCCCGTAAATTCGGTATCTTGGCGCCTTAATATCTCATAAAAATTATATACCTATGAAACAGTTTCTATTTTAATATCTGGACGCTTGTAATTCGAATAGAGGAGCACATACATATGTATATGGTTTCTGACGTTATAATTTTGCGTATAAAAACTGGTCCAACCTACCATGGTGTGGAGGCAATTTCCAAATTTTGTGAAGGGAGAACATATTCATTAGGCGAAACTTCGCCAAAAAATATTTTGCTGACTGTATGAGAGATTGTATCTTCAGTATGAGAAACTCCAAATAAGGCTACCATGGTAATGTTGTAAAAGTAAAGACGTTCTCAAAGATGGAAGGAGAGTGGAACCCTTCGCAGATTCGCGTTGAACACCACTCGTGTTTCAAAAGTAGACGGATATTTTCCCTGCCTAGGAATGTTTGTAGCCAATTTTTCGGATAAAAATCCCGAGCACAAAGTACAAAATTATGGTAAAATATTCGACAAATGTGTGCTGCTTTCACAAACGATCGAGTTGAAAAACATATGCCAAATAAAGATGCTCCTAATAAATCTAGGAAAAATTGAAAAAAGTTTTAAAATCCTCTCGCTTTTGTGGAAAAAAGCTAAATTATTTTTTGTCCCATATTCGGCTGCCATAAATATGGTCAACGTAGCTATGCCGCATTTGTACATTTTTGACTGTCGGACAGTGTTATTGACCTCTACTTCACAAAATCTAAATCCGAATTATAGCTGCATATTTAGTAATCGTATCATTAGACCAATTAAAGATTTTTTAAATCTTGTAAAAAAGCACACAAATTGTAAACATAACTATTTACTTGCGCTGACATACATAACTATTTATGTATGTAATTGAAAAAAGTGTTCTACAGAAAAAATATCGAGAGAGAGAGTGTAAAAAATTAGTAAAACAAACAACAGATCAAGCAGTTCAAAATAACTAAAACTTTTGTAATTAACACAAGTTGTTTTGCTAAGTAATCGAGTAGATGTATGTACATATATGCATATTTCAATAAGTGTCAGAGCATAAGTGAGCATCGCTAACAACTTGATGACTCCGTTACTCCTCCTTTGGCGCATTAAACATTTAACGCTTCCGAATTAGTTTGAGTGCGCTAAATGTTAATATCCCCATGTTTTTCGCAATTGAGCGCTGCGCCTTAAGGAGATCATATACACAAACAAAGGCTTACAAGCATGCACAAGCACGACGGTTTGCGGCTATTAGCGCAAACAACGCACTGCGCTACTTTTAGGCCACATGAATTGGGTAAATGACTGTACATACATACATATGTTACATACATGTAACCTGTATGCCAGAAACATGAATGTGTAAAAATACAAATTTTGAGAAATCAAGTTTGAAAGTTTTTTTACGAGACTTAACTCTACATTTATGCAATTGAAATTGAAAAATATGTGGTTTCCGTGTATGCATGGCATTATGGGTTTTGGTATAACATAGAACATCCAAAGGTTAATCAGCTCAACCTAATAACTCAAAACTGATAAATTTTCACATTCATGCTTCTGGCATAAGGATGACGATATATGTATACATGTATATTAGGGTGGTCGAAAAATGCATGTGCAGAAGTAAAGTTTTGAATTTTAATGCTCTATATAGAAAAAACTTATACCCGTTTTTTATTTTGAAATCAAAAAATATTTAGAGGTCGCTCAAAGCGCTCAAAGTTTTGTACTATATTTTATATGGAGACAAAACAAATTTTCGTATAAATGGTATAGAATTCTTGAAAATCAATATTTTTTGACCGAAAAACTTAGTTCCTCTTTTATTTATTTTACTACTTTTATTGCTAGCGATTCCTTATAGGTTCCTTCCATTGCACGTCTTGAGATTTTTAGGGGCGCTATAAACAATAGTTGATAATTGAAAATGGTTAAATAAATAATTCTCCTGAAGAGAAACAAACTTTAAGGATCGAAAAATATTGATTTTCACGAATTATATACCATTTCTAGAAAAACTTGTTTTCTTCCTTATAAAATACATGGGCATTAATTTCAAAATAAATAAACAGCGTTTAAATTTTTTTCGGTATAAAACAATCTTAGGGGGTGGGAGCATTAAAATTCCGATATTACTTTTTTGACCACCCTAATGTAAATATGTATAGGATGAATGCAACAAAGGGTGGTAGAGAAAGCATGGAACGTCGTTATGGAAGGCACATGGTTTAATGTATACAAACTTTAATGTACCTATGTATGTATATATGTATGTTTATTTGAGCACTAAACTTCGCAAAAGTTATGCATAAATCATGCAAATGGCCATGTAATTCCAGTGAAAGCATAACGCTTGCTCAACACGCTTCACTCTCACTCACTGCTTTGGGCCAAGTTATTGACTGCCACGCTAGCTAATAAACATGACTTGCATAAAAGTCGATTAATTAGTGAATAGTAAATTAACTTGCATGAGAGAATATCTAACGGTAAGTGAAGCCTTTGGAGTTCGCCATTCACTGTGCACAACAATTTTACTGAGTTGAGCACTAATTCCATAAACGTGAGCTAATAATTTGATGGAAAGTGAACTTATGCCGATTTCGTTTCTAGCGAAAAATGCAAGCTTCTCTTTGCCCTCAAGAAATGAAATCGCCATTAGTTTAGCCTTAAACACCTACAAAACTCGTTTTCAACAAGTTATCAACAGTTGACTCGTCTATTGGAGAATGGCTGCAGATATCTTTGCCTAGCCGTGCAGAATTGAAATGTTCAAATTTATTTATATCCGATTCTGTTTTGCTGAGAACCATTAACATTATAGTACTTGTAGGATTCCGAGAAATATTCTTATTGTTAAATTTTGGTTTGTGGATTGCTATTTTTAAAAGGTTAATACTACTCGTAGCAAAAAAATCATTTGAAAAAAAGTAAGTAAGTTATTTATGGGAAAAATAATTATCTTTAAATTAGTTTTATATTGAGTCTGTTTAATCAGAAAAGGCAGCCGCTGTGGCCTTGGCAGAGAATGCCATACCTCCCAGTGTATTTCCACCTTGAAAAAGCTTCTCATAAAACGATTTGCTGCTCAGGGCGGCGTAAAATTGTAGGTCCCTCCAATCGTGTTTTTACATCAGGGCGCATATCGCGAATTGTCGGAGAAGCTCGGCCAAACCCCCAGAAAGAGCTTTCCAAAAACACTTAACTCTTTTTATAAACCCCTTAAGTAATTATGTATATATATGCATATATACATACATACATATGTAAATCCAAAAAAACGACAAAAAATATTTGTTAATCAACTAAATTTCACTTTCTTGCGATATTTCTCTACAGGTGAACACCCCGCTGCAATGCATCATGGAGACGCCACACCACAAGTCCAACCACCGCCCGCTACTTTCCTACTCTTTTTGGTATTCCTAGCGGTATTACTGTTGCAAGAGCACCCACAGGCATCACATAAACGCAAACAACAACAAAACTTTCAGCTGCGACAACGCACTCGATGGAAGTGGTGGCACAATAGCCAACTATCGAATGTAAAATGCATGGACTGCCAACATAACGAGCCACTAACTACAAAACAAACGACAGAGGTGGTACAGTGTCACCTGCCAGACGGAGAGGAGCAAACAAGGCGTTGCATACAACAAAAGCTATTAGTACAACTGTGGGACACGCGAAGATGTTGGGAAAGCAAGGAGCTAACAGCAGCAACATAGCCATCAAATAACGCTGACAGCGAGCGTAGTAAGTCCACACTCGAATTGATGTAAATTAAGTTCCCCTCCAATCCTAAAATACGATAAAATATAAAACGATAAATGAAGTACTTTTTTAGGCGCTTTAACTGGAAAATAATGTGTAGTTAAATTACGAGTATTATATATAAAGTATTTACGTAAAATGTATGCCTGTATATGTGTATGTGTATGTGAGATTTAAAATATTTCTTTAATGAAATTGTCACTATAAGTACTATAAGACAAGCAGAAGTGACAGCAGCAGTAAGTAATTATCACTAGCAATGTATGTAAGGATACGTTTTTTTTTTGTTTTGTGTAAAACTTTTTGAACAACTTTCAAAACAGAATTTGTTTTAATTACATAAAAAAAACACATTAATGCTTGCTAATACTATGTGTATTTATGTTGAATTAGAGCCATTTGGGAAAGCATGTGCAGTCAAAAAATCGCGTGTGACTGATGCATGACTATTAACTTTATTTATTTAAAATTGTGAATTATAAAACTTAATAATTAATACCTAAAATAGTAGTGGATTGAGTTTACCATTTTTAAGAAAAAAAATGAAATCAGAAGAAGTTTTTTAAAAATGTAAAATTTACTACTTTAGCAAGTATACAAATATTGATCTTCTAGTGATTGAGATATAACACAAAATGGCATACTTTTAGGAGCTAAACTTTAAATAATCCACATTCCAACAAGCAATTGAACCCACGTCAGTAAATATGCTTTTATACTAGTACCTACTTAAAAAAAATACTGAAAGTAAACAGATTTATTTACCAAAAAAAGCAACACAATTCTTGTCACCTATCACGCAATTCTTCAACATTCTCACACTTAATCTCTCACTCTCCACTTTTAAATGTAAAATTCCACCAGTCAATATCCGAAGGAAGCGTGGTAAAAACAAGCAGAAAACAAGAAAAATAATAGTTCAGAATTAGTTAATGTAAACGTGTAAATCTTTTTTAGATAGTAAAATACTTATATGGTACTCGCTCTGAATGTATAAGTATGTGAAAAGCATTTAAATACACTAGTATGTAGTAGCCAGAAAATTGAACGAAAATTCAAGAAATTTAATAACTAATTCAAATTATTAGGCAGAACAAACTATAAATAATAATGATCGCATAGTAGGTAATAAAAATTAAATATAGCAAAAGATAACATTTAAAAGTATGTAAAAGATTAAGCAACAAGTTTGTTAAGTAGATTTTTTTAACAAATAATTGGTAAAATATTTTTTGTTAGCATTAAGAATTGTATATACTAGTTGGTAAACTGTTAATGAGGAAAAATTTTGTAATATCAATACTCATTTAGAGAACTAATAGGTTACAAAATAGAACAAAACTTTGGTTATATATTAAAAAATATATATTATATATTTTTACGTTAACTGTGTAAATATTTATAAGTAGTTTACTTTAAAAAATGAAAATGAAATGTTACAAAAAAAATACTTTTTTTTTGAGCGTCCATTTTGTTTGACTATTATATTTCTGTGGGCTCTAGGCCGAAATTTAAATAAACCCTGAATATCATTTCGTTGTGCTATTTATTTATTCATCTTTCATAGCCAAAAGCTTTTGAACGTTATTTCAGATTAAATTCTTAGTAACGATTGTTTAAGCGATTCATAACACCTAGTGTCTAAAGGTACGCTACACTCTCAATAAACTGGTGCCAAACCAACCTGCCGAGAAAACCCCAACTAGTTCAGTACTAGACCGTTATCGCCAAAAACGAATCAGTCCAGTATTTAGTAACTTTAATAATAGTAACCAGTTTACAAGCAGCGTAATGTGGTACCTTTAAAAACTATTTTATTCTATTTTTATAACCACATATCGCTGGCTGGAAAATATTACTTTTTTCGTTTGTCGATTTCAGAACTGCTATTGTAAAAGGAATGCAGCATTGCTGATATGCAGGAGGGAATTAACGCGCACTAATCATAGTTCTTAATTTTTTAATACCGAACCAGTTCGTCACTATTCGGTTTCCCCACACGGCAGATACAAAGTACATACATATGCGCATACGTACATAAAGCAAATGCAAAAAATTGTGTACACTTCTCAAATATCGCATTGCAGAACTTATTGAAGTAGTAATAGATTGATGACAACGCGAACCATCAACTCAATTAAACTGTCGCATATCTCAAAAACTATTTTGGAGTTTTATATGTAAACTGAGCTCCGTATGACTCACAACCATGCAGTGATGGTAACTGAGGTTTACCTTATCGATCTATAAATAAATAAATACAACAAAAGGATTTGCGAGTTTTATTTTAAACCCGGCGTAGAGCTAAAACAAAAAAATAACTCGTAACTTTTTATAAAAATAAATAAATAAAATATTATAAGAATATTAAAGGTATAAGATATGATCTAATGGTGTTACGTAATTGTATGGCAAGAATAAATACTTGTTTAAAAATATGTCTAGCATATAAATCAAGTCCAAGACTTTAAAATAAATACGTGTAGTAAGATCTCATCACAAAAAAAAAACTCAAATAGGGTATTCAACCCACATAGAAAATGTAGGTTCCTAACTTTTGAGGTTTAAAACGCAAATCAATTTGTCAATTTTGTTGCCAATTGTTTTGTCTTTAAATGCTAAATTCCCTGCATTCAGGTAAAGCTTATGAAAAAGTTAATAAAGTCACATTAATTTAAGAGTATATTTTTGTGCCTTCCTATGGTTTAGAAAACATATCCGATTTTTGTGTCTGGCCATGCTTATTCTGGGACTTGTGGTATGCTTCAGTTGTCCCACATACAAAGCGATCTTCAGCTTGAGCAATGAGTCTTATGGAAAGTGCTTTCGTGGCAGCATTCAAATTAGGGTCTTCTACAGAGTGAGAGTATATTTAGGTACACATCTACGCACTCATATGCGACAAACCTGAACACCTGAACACCCGCAAGAAGTGAAAACAATAGTGGTGGCATATGGATATCTCCAATATGGCGTTACGTGACATTTGTATGACAAAATGTTAAAAAAAAAAACACATTGAAAAAGTCAAAATTTTAAAAAGGGTTTACCAAGTTTTCATGGCAATTAAATGGCCTCTTATTCAGTAAAAAAATTGCAATTGTTGGTAGTAGCGATTTAAAGGTAATAGTAAATTTATGCGCTGGCGTGACGTGAATTGGATTTTGACTTGGGTTACCAAATTAAAAAACTCGGCGAATTGGGCAAGACTATTTATATTAAAGTTATTGTAGTAATATTTGAATTATTTAAGGTTAATCTTCCAAGTTTTTAATTGTAAAAATCGTTTCTGCTTTTTGTTTAATCAGCTGAACTATCTGACGTGAGGTTACGTTACTAATATTTCCATTGAAAAAACTTTGTTAATATTGATTTTGAACGAATTTTTAAGGAGAAGAAAACAAGTTTTTTATGTCAAATATACAAATTATTTTGACATCAGCGCCACCAGCGGTTTCCATTTTTTTTGCAAATATTTCAATTAAACATGCCAAATGTGAAACAAATCAGAGCATAAATACTGGTTTTCAAATTATCTCGACCCTGACGCCACCTAACGAGACCATTTTTGGCAAAAATTTGTCTGCTTACATAACCAATATATATATATTGTAAAAATCAGACAAATTAGCCCACAATTACGTTAGATATATGCCTTTAATTTTTTCTTTTTGCGATAGACCTTCCGATGAAAATGCCCATATGCAGGGGATCTATCGATCTATCTTGCTGGTATTGCTTATAATAAATAGTGGCGACCAAAGATGAGTACATCGTTATTTATGTTAAATATTTGCAAGGTTTTTAAAGTTAAATTGTTGTATAATTTCTATATTAAAATATGGCTTTATAGAGAGCTTAGAAAAATTCAACAACTTCTCATTAACATTTTGCAATTTTTTATCTGAATTTTTAGAAAAATTTTGGGTATACAGATTATAGCCTGTTAAATTTTAGTATATGTAATGAAATGCAAGTTTTAAGCGGAGCTCCTCGGGGCTATTTAGAAAATGAGATCCAAAGTTCTTCAAACTTAGCCTCGCAACGCTGGGCACCTAAGAGGGTAGTGTTGAGCTGATTCTACCTCGTCCTCTTCCAGACAACTGCGACGTAAGGGGTCCGGTAGAATATTCAGCCTTACTGCCTGAATACCGATAGGACAATAACCCATTAAAACCCCCACCAGAAGTGAGAGCTGTGGATTTGTGAGTGTGAGGAGTGCCCTCGACCGCCCTCGGTCCACCCTCGGAGAAAAAGGACCTTGCGATTGCGCATGTCGTGGTATTTGCCCAGCGTTCGCTGAGGCCCATCTATCCAAGAGTGTAGCGCATGTGATCAATGGCACCCCCAGCCGCTCTTTATCTGGTAATAACGTTTCATGGACTCTTTCCCTAGCCAGCTCGTCAGCAACGCAGTTCCCCCCAATGTCGCTATGACCCGGAACCCAAATAAGCCTAATGCAGAAGTATTATGACGCGGCGAAAGAGAGAGCAGATATTCCTTAACCAACTTAGAGCGGACCTCTAACGAATTCAAGGCCCTAACAGCCGCTTGGCTATCAGAATATACGCTTACTTCCCTGACAGTTATAATGCTCCTTAGCAGTGAATCTACCGCTTCCATGATAGTAGCTGCTTCCGCCAGGAATACACTGCAGAAGTCCGGGAGCCTAAACTTAGTGCTGATGGGGAGATCTCGACAGAAGACTCCTCCACCAATCCTGCCGTCCAGTGGACAGAGAAGAATCTCCTACCATCCGGGATGAAATCGGAGCCTCCTAGAACTCCGGAGTGTCCAGTTCCTAAGTTGGTCAACCAATCGGTTTCCCTGAGTCTAATAGCCGCGACAATTCTGCCTGCAACGTCGACAGGCCCTGCGTTTAACATTACGTTCAATGCTAATGTGGGGGCGGTCCGAAGTGCCCAACTAATACCAATTAATGCAGCCCGTTGTA